CACATGAACTTTAATATTTGTATCATCGAGCAGACCTGATTGACTCTCCTCTATGTCGAAGTACTGCTTAATCGTGTATTTTCTCATTTTGTCTAGGAGAGCGATCGCCACTCGTTTGATCTACGCGTAATCGCGGATGGGAGACTGTCTGGAGCGTTCGGCTGATACACTTTCTACGCAGGAAGAGGAGCACGATCCTCACTACGAGCCCGTGATTCGTCTCACGGACAAAGATCAAGTGGAGGTCAAGACCCACGAAGAGGATGAAGAGGTCCGATTCAAAATGTGCGCCCTTTGATTCATCCTTCTATGACGCGCCAACACGCCATCGACAATGTCTGATCTCTTTCTGATTCTGTTTAGGCGTGCTAAATTATTCCGCTTTGATACTGCTGCATCCGAGTGGAAGGAACGGGGTACAGGAGACGTGCGTCTACTTGCCCACAAGGCCACTGGGAAAATTCGTCTTGTGATGAGACGCGACAAGACATACAAAGTGTGTGCGAACCATGCTAGTAAGTACAAACCAGGGTTCCTGGTTTTACCTGTTTTCCTTTGGGTTATTCAGTGGGACTGATCATATTCATCCTCTTACGCCCAAATAGTCACAGGGGAGATGAACCTCCAACCTAATATTGGCTCTGATCGCTCTTGGGTATGGAAGACTTTGGCTGATATGTCAGAAGGTTCACCATCAGCGGAAACGTTGGCCATTCGCTTTGCCAATTCTGATAGTAAGAAGCTTGGTATACTCTTTGCGGGCAGTTCTGACTTGTGACCCCTTCTACGACTTTATTAGACGCGTTACAATTCAAGCAGGACTTTGAGGAGGCTCAGAAGGTAAACAAGGAGATCTCCGAGCAAAGCGGTCCGCCGGAAACTGTCCAAACCTCATCGACAGACCCTGCTGGCCCGTCGGCTTCCACTGCCAAGGAAGCCACAGATATAGAGAACGAGAAGCGAGAGAAAGCGAAACCAGATGATGGGGCTACTACAGAGCCCGTTGCGAAAGCGTCAGAGGATGGAGAGCCGAAAGACGGCCCGAGCACCGCATAGACTAAAACCTATCTCCTCCATCTCGCTGTATTGAATCTGGATCACAAGAATTTAATCTCAGATAGTTGATGTTCACTCCTAGTCATTATCAACACCAACAATCATACCCCATTGCGAGAGATTAAATAGAGAAAATACACGATTAAGCAGTACTTCGACATAGAGGACAGTCAATCAGGTCTGCTCGATTATACAAATATTAAAGTTCATGTGA